AACTGGCTAAAGCAGAAATCAAGAGCTCAGATCTGGATCATTTAGACACCCCAAAGCCATTTTTGGCTTGAATTACTCAGAAGAGTGCTGGGCTGAACTAATCCACATCTAATTTCGCATTACGTCTGCCTCCTAGGGGTCCAAAATGACGCCTTTTGATGAAGAACCTGGACTCTAGCTTGAATCAAATCAACAGGCCCTTCCTAACAGACTCCTGCTACTAACACAGAGAACATTTAAAAAGGAGCCTTTCGCTGGACACGGTGGCTCACGCTTGTAATCCCAGCACTTTCGGAGGCTGAGGCAGGCAGATCACTTGAGATCAGGAGTTAAAGACCAGCCTGGCCAACGTGGTGAAACCCTGTCTCTACTACAAATACAGAAATTAGCACGTGGTGGCAGGCACCGGTAATCCCAGCTACTCAGGAGGACGAGGCAGGAGAATTGCTTGAACCTGGGAGGTGGAGGTTGTAGTGAGCCAAGACCAAGCTACTGTAATCCAGCCTGGGCAACAGAGCAAGACTGTCTCAAAAAAAAAGACTTTTGGTCCAGGCACGGTGGCTCACACCTGTAATCCCAGCACTTTGGGAGGCTGAAGCAGGCGAATCACCTGAGGTCAGGAGTTCAAGACCAGCCTGGCCAACATGGTGAAACCCCATCTCTACTAAAAACACAAAAATTAGCTGGGCATGGTGGCATGCACCTGTAATCCCAGCTACTCAGGAGGCTGAGGTGGGACAACTGCTTGAGCCCAGGAGGTAGAGGTTGCAGTGAGCCGAGATTATGCCACTGATTGCACTCCAGCCTAGGCAACTAAGCAAGACTCCATCTCAAAAAAGAAAGAAAGAAAAAAAAAAAAAAAAAAAAAAAAGCCTTTTCACACACCTGGCTCTAAAGTTACCAGTTCCAGAATACTTAGAATCAATCAAGTAAGATGACCAATACATTCGTAAAACTGAAGGCACCAGGCTAAGTGCCTGCCATTACATGGCTATTCAATTCTTACCATTGCAGTTTTACTGATAACATTTTGGTTAGCCATGATGAGCCTAAAAAGCAGAATGGCATAGCTAGAAATAAAACTGTGGACTTGGACTTTTGTTTGAATAGTAAAAGTTCCACTTCTTAACAAATGGGGTGAATATCCTTATCTGTAAAATGGGTATAACAGGTGCCTTGTGAGAGCATTTGAGATGATACATGTGGAAACACTGGCACCTGGTGTCATTTAGCAAATAGTGCCTGTGGACTCCATTCAAAAGCCCAAGTGTTTTCCCTTAAGCCAGAATGCTCTTTTGAAAAACTGGCTAATTTTAGTCCAAATTGTATATCTTGGGCTAAGGGCTCTCCATGCCTGAGAGGAAGAACAATGCAGAAAAGTGGACTCCACTCCTGGAGATTCTTACTCAGTGGGTGTGGGGTGTGGCCCATAAACATATTTTAATAAATATCCCAGCTGATTCTAGTATCAGGGATGCACTTTGAGAAGCACCTCAACATGTTAAGAAAACCTCATTGCACAGCAGCACATTTGGGTCCCTTTTGTGAATAACAGGGCAAAGGATCTAATCACTGTCTTACAAGAGACAGAGGTCAGCAGACTACTGCTGGTTACCTAAAACTCTAGTAAGAATTCAATCTGGGGCTGGGCGCGGTGGCTCATGCCTGTAATCCCAGCACTTTGGGAGGCCGAGGCGGGTGGATCACGAGGTCAAGAGATCGAAACCATCCTGGCCGACATGGTGAAACCCCGTCTACTAAAAATACAGAAAAAATTAGCTGGGCGTGGTGGCACACGCCTGTAGTCCCAGCTACTCGGGAGGCTGAGGCAGGAGAATTGCTTGAACCCAGAAGGTGGAGGTTGCGGTGAGCCGAGGTCCCACCACTGCACTCCAGCCTGGCACCTGGTGACGGAGTAAAACTCTGTCTCAAAAAAAAAAGAATTCAATCTGACCAGTCTTGCCTATCCTAGGGCCCTTTGTGATGTAAACCATCTTGGTTGCTGGGGCAGCTCTTAAGGTAGAAACAGATGGTGGTATTCATCTGGATTCATGGCCATGGATGAACTCCTGGTGTTGGGGACAGTTAGAACAGCTGGTCAAGCCAGGGATGTGACTGACACTGGAACAGAACGGAGCGGAGGGGCCCTCTCTGATTTCATGGGCTTCCTCTGGGCTGATGCCAGCTGCTCTGGAAACCCCCCACTTCATCAGGCTCCGTGCTCCCGCAGCTGGTGCTGCTCCTCGCACCGAGGTGTTCCTGCGTAGCCTGTGGCCACCTGCGCAGTGTCTCTCCTTTGCATTGCTTGAATAAACATGATTTCATGGCCAACCCCTTCCCCAGCCCCTTTTGTTTAGTTTCTATGGCCTGACATGGTAGCAATTTAGCATGCCACTTTAAATTTACAGATTTAAAATGGGGTTGGCTAAATTCAGTATGGGCAATAGACAAGCATCAGATATAGATTAAATTAAGACAGTACGTTTAAGTGCCAAGGTAAGTTATATTAGAAAGGAGGGGAATTCGCAGTTTCCTTAGAAAGTAAACTCTGGGATTACTCTATCTTGTTACTTTTGAAAGTTTCTGCTGAAAAATAATTAGCCTTGAGCTGGGTGCCATGGCTCATGCCTGTAATCCCAGCACTTTGGGAGGCCAAGGCAGGTAGAGTGCTTGAGCTCAGGTGTTTGAGAACAGCCTAAGCAACATGGTGAAACCCCATCTCCACCAAAAATACAAAAAAATGAGCCAGGTGTGCTGGCATGGGCCTGTGGTCCCCGCTACTCAGGAGGCTGAGTTTTGAGGATCACTTGAGACTGGGAGGTGGAGGTTACAGCGAACCGAAATCATGCCACTGCATCCAGCCTGGGCAACAAAGGGAGACCCTGTCTCAAAACAAATAATAATAGCCTATGCTAATCTTACTGAATTCCTCAGACAAAAGAAAGGGAGTGAACCTAGCTCCTGTCTGGTGGCCTGAGACACTGCCCTCTCTGACCCCCTCAAATTTCTAGCTGCAAGCGTTTTTAGACTGTGATTCAGGAGCAGACTGATAAACTTACCTCTGGGTGTGATGGTCATTGGAAACATCTGATTCTCCAAGGGTCTCCAGCGGCGGCTCTGGACACACCTTCCTTCACTGTGCTTCCTGACATATCCCTGTCCTTCCCCAGATGTCAGGAGTGACGGTGGAGTATCTAGTTGGAGTGCCAACTGAGGCAGAGCACAGATCCACCTGTCATCTGAGAGCTGTGGGTATTTAGACAACTCTTTATTGGATCTCCTCACAGTAAACGACTTCCTGGTGGAGTAAATGCAATTTACCTCTCCGACAAAGCTCAGAGTGAATGTGCCCCTGAGTTCCAGCCAGCTCCTCATCCACCTCCCAGGCCAGGCGTCCCCAAACTTACACAGGGGGCCAGTTCACTGTCCCTCAGACCGTTGGAGGACGGCCACATACTGTGCTCCTCTCACTGACCACCAATGAAAGAGGTGCCCCTTCCTGAAGTGCAGCGAGGGGCCGGATAAATGGCCTCAGAGGGCTGCATGCAGCCCGCGGGCCGTAGTTTGGGGATGCCCGTCCTAGGCAGTGTGAATAAGGATAACTGATATTTACAGTCTAACCCCTACATGCCACGAGCTCTGCCTGCCCAGCTGGTCCGGGAAATGAAAAGGAGGCTGCTGCAGGTTAGGTGAATGACAAGCACACCCATGGGAGCTGTGGACCATAAGCAAGGGCTCCTTACACTCCTCCGCTCTCCCAGGGCCCCAAAATCTTCACCAGGCAGAATTTGAAAATAAAGTGCTTTATTGCTGAGGATCCCACAGAGCTTCAAGGCGGCCGTCTAGGGGCTAGGACTGAAGTCCCCTCCCTGTGGTGGCTCTGGTGAACAGAGACAGTTGAGACTTCAACATTTCAACCCCATAGAAGGCAAGGAAGTGTGGCTGGAGGCTGGGGAGGCAGGGAAGAGGTATGAGGTGTGCCGGGAGAGCGGATTATGAGCATCTCTTCCCAACTCTGAGTTCCACGCATTCAGGCTGGTAGCAGGAAACAGGCCACTGCAGGACTGACACCACGGAAGTTGCCCACAAGCAACAAATCAGGGCTTCTTTTCCCTCCCAGAGAACTGGTTTACCATCACTATAGATGTGTGACACGCTCTCCTGAGCCAGTGCTGAGCTCGCCCAAGCCTGGCTACTGCGATAAGCTATCACCCCCCAACTCGGGGCAGTGCCAGCTCCCAGCCCTGCACATCCCTACAATCAGCAGAACAGAGCGGTCTGAGCAAAGGAAAGGGACCATAACTGAGCAACCAAGTCCCTGCCTGGACTCTACTTCGCCTCAGCGGGGATGGCTTTCAGCCCAAAATGAAAGTGATGTCCAGCAGAAAGGCAGCTTGGGGCTTCAGAAACCCCTCCCGTGCAGTGGCTCATGGCAGGGGGTGGGGAAAGAAGGGCATGTGCACCACCCAGAGATAAGGAGGGGTGGCAGCAGGGCTGGATGTGCCCCTGGCCAAGGATGGCTGTGCCAATGATACGAGCGGCCCTTCCTCGGCTGGCCATGAGAGTGGCGTGTGAGTGACTCACGGGAGATCCCAGGAATCGGGATGTTTCTGCAGCTGCTGGCTAACACCTATGTGCAGAGCTGGTGCAGAAGAGCCCAGCTCCCAAGGAGGAGAAAATGAATGACCAGGTGGGACAGCATCTCCCAGCAGGCAGCAGCAGGAGGCGGCAGCAGACACAGGCAGGTATGCACATTTCCAGGGCTCCCAGGGACACCCATCTTGGGCCCTAAATACCCTTCAACCTTCTCACTAACCCCACTGAGACATCTGCCTCGGGGTCACAGGCAGAGGGCAGGCAGCCTGGGACCAACTTTGCTGGGGGAGCCCTTCACTCACCCTGTCTGGGCAGGGGCGGGGTGAGGGCCCTACCAGGAAAGTTCTCCCGGGCAACAGCAGCAGCAGCAGCAGCAGCAGCCGCCGCGGGCCCTCTCCCTGCAGCATCTGTTCGGCAGCCCCGGCATTAGTACTCCTTGGCCTCCTGCAACTGTGCCAGGTACTCCTCCAACGGGGGGTTGTCCGGGCAGGCTCGGTCGTTGTTGGGGGGGCGCACGGCGTGGAGGCGGCTCCAGTCCCCCTTGCACAGGATCCAGGGCAGCGTGTCCACCTTGAAGTGCAGCTGCGGTGACAACTGCGGGCTGATGAGGTTGGGCGCGCCGGCGCCCTTGCCGCGGGTCAGCAGCCGGCGGTGGTTGTCATAGCAGCAGTGCTGGGCGCCCAGCGTGCTGCTCTCCTCGGACAGCAGGGAGCGCAGGCAGTAGCGCGCCGTGGGGTGGTAGATGTCCAGGCGCTCGGAATGGCCACTGGCGTCCCTCCACCGATATCTGCGGCCCTGGCGCTGGTTGTCCCGCATGCTCACGGTGCGTTCTATGGCCCCCCGCGGGTAGACACACGGGCAGCTGGGCAGGTCCCGCTGCATCTGGCTTACGTAGTTGGTAAGGAAGTCGTTCTTGCAGGTCAGCCATTTCTCGCAGCTGTCCACATCTGCAGAGGGCAGGAAAGTGCAGGAGGGAAGCCAGTCAGAGAGCCGGCCACACCCGTGTGGGGTGGGGACTAAGGGCCAGTGCAAGGGGACAGAAGGCCCAGGCCCCAGCTGGTGCCTAGCCCCCCACTGACCTTGGCCAAACAAATCTGTAGCACTCTTGTTCAGGAGCTGCCACTCCTCACTGAGGGGGCCCGAGATGTTCTTGTCCTCGGTGTCTTTGGGAAGAAAAGAGGCCAGGCTGGTGACTCCCCAGGGCACCTCAGTGCCCCTGATAGGGAACTGCAGCCCTCACTAGGCTCTCAGTGCCCACAGCAGCCGAGAGAAGCCGGGGACAAGGCAGGACCACCATGTTTGTGAGCTTCCTGCATCCCCTCTCCCAAGCCCACCCACTTTTCCAAGGGACCAGCCCTCCAGTCTAAGCCACACCAGCCACTCCTATGCAGGGGCGGGGGCTCATCTCACCAGAGCAGAAGGGCAGTTCACAGCTACGGGACTCGATGGAGGTGCAGCTGTAGCCACAGGACCGAGTTCTTTGCTGTTTGCCAGCGCTGCAATTCCCACTGCAGGGAGACCAGGGACTCCACTCCTCCTGAGTCTCATGATCTGGGGCAAGACAGGGAGCTGGGGGTGAGTGCACACAGCCCACAGGGTGCATCGGTGCACATCAGCACAGGGCACCCTTTCCTCAGGTGGACGCAGCCCATGCCAGGGCTGCCAGCCTCGTGAATGAAACATGGGCTGGATTTCAGCTTCCACCTGCTCTGTCAACTGGGTACCCTTCTGCAGTGAACAACCTATGTGAAGAGACAGAACAACCCTAGCCACTTGCTCTGTGCTAACACCGCAATGAAGAGAAAATGATACCTGGGGCTGGGAGCCATCTGACTGCTATTGGTGTGACCTTGGGCAAGTCCCCCGACATCTCTGAGCTATAATTTTTTTTTTTTTTAATTTGTTTGTTGAGTCAAGATCTTACCCTTTTGTCCAGGCTGGAGTGCAATAATGTGATCACAGCTCACTGCAGCCTTGACTTCCTGAGCTCAAGCAATCCTCCCACCTCAGCCTCCCTAGTAACTGGGACTACAGGCACACGCCACTAAGCCTGGCTAATATTTATTTATTTATTTATTTATTTTTGAGACAGAGTCTGGCTCTGTCTCCCAGGCTGGAGTGCAGTGGCGTGATCTTGGCTCACAGCAACCTCCACCTCCCCGGTTCAAGTGATTATCCTGCTTCAGCCTCCCATGTAGCTGGAATTATAGGCGTGCACCACCATGCCCAGCTAATTTTTGTATTTTTAGTACAGACAAGGTTTTACCATGTTGGCCAGGCTGGTCTTGAACTCCTGACCTCAACTGATCTGCCCACCTCGGCCTCCCAAAGTACTGGGATTACAGGTGTGAGCCACCACATCAGCCCAAGCCTGGCTAATTTTTAAATTTTTTGTAGACGGGGTTTCGCCATGTTGCCCAGGCTGGCCTTGAACTGCTGGGCTCAAGCGATTCTCCAGCCTCAGCCTCCAAAATGCTGGGACGAAAGGTGTAAGCCACCCACCTGGCCTGAGCTATAGTTTTTATGTCAATCAAAACCAAGGCTGCTAATATTCCCCTTGCACTGGAGAATTTTTTTTTTTTTTTTTTTTTGAGATGGAGTTTCGCTCTTGTTACCCAGGCTGGAGTACAATGGCATGATCTCGGCTCACCGCAACCTCCGCCTCCAGGGTTCAAGCAATTCTCTTGCCTCAGCCTCTTGAGTAGCTGGGATTACGGGCACGTGCCACCATGCCCAGCTACTTTTTTGTATTTTTTTTTTTTTTTTTGAGACGGAGTTTCGCTCTTGTTACCCAGGCTGGAGTGCAATGGCGCGATCTCGGCTCACCGCAACCTCCTCCTCCTGGGTTCAGGCAATTCTCCTGCCTCAGCCTCCTGAGTAGCTGGGATTACAGGCACGCGCCACCATGTCCAGCTAATTTTTTGTATTTTTAGTAGAGACGGGGTTTCACCATGTTGGCCTGGATGGTCTCGATCTCTTGACCTCGTGATCCACCCGCCTCGGCCTCCCAAAGTGCTGGGATTACAGGCTTGAGCCACCGCGCCCGGCTGTATTTTTTTTTAGTAGAGACGGGGTTTCACCATGTTGACCAGGATGGTCTCGATCTCTTGACCTCGTGATCCACCCGCCTTGGCCTCCCAAAGTGCTGGGATTACAGGCGTGAGCCACCGTGCCTGGTGAGATATATTTTTTTAATACTTTTTTTTTTTTTAGACGGGTTTTCACCATGTTGGTCAGGCTGGTCTTGAACTCCTGACCTCAGTTGATCCGCTTGCCTTGGCCTCCAATGTGCTTGGATTACAGGCGTGAGCCACCACGCCCGGTCACATTGGAGATATTTAATAATTTCCCAGCTGGACATGTAATCCCAGCACTTCGGGAGTCTGAGGAAGGCAGATTGCTTAAACTCATGTATCTGAGACCAACCAGCCTGGGAAATACAGCAAAACCCCATCTCTACAAAAATTTTTAAAAAGCTACTCAGGAGCCTGAGGAAAGAGGATCACTTGACCCAGGGAGGTCGAGGCAGCAGTGAGCTGTGATCTTGCCAATGCATTCCAGCCATGGCTGGGCCAAAATCCTCAGACTGTGCAGAGCCTGAGACCCAGTGCTTTCTGTGGAACCCCCAAAATACTGACAACTGGTCCACACTTCACAGGCAGGCCAGCACTGGCACCGAGTTTAAGGAAAATTAATGGGAGAAAAGCTGAAAAACATGAAAATTTTTCCTTTTTTTATTTTCAGAGACAGGGTCTTGCTCTGTCACCCAGGCTAGAGTACAGGAGTGTGATCACGGCTCACTGCAGCCTTGACCTTCCGGGCTCAAGTGATCCTTCCACTTCAGCCTCCCAAGTATCTGGGACTTCAGGCAGGTGCCACTATGCCCAACTAATTTTTGTGGTTTTTTGTAGAGACAGGGTTTCACCATGTTGCCCAGGCTGGTCATGAACTCCTGAGCTTAAGCAGTCCACCTGCCTTGGCCTCCCAAAGTGCTGGGATTACAAGGCATGAGCCACTGTGCCCAGCCAGTGATGAAAATTTTCTGTGAGTTTACATTATTTTAGTGAATTGGAAAGAGCCTGTCACAACTTAGTCTTAATCACAGGTACCTCTGTCCATTGACAAGACACCAGGGCTCCAAGGGAAATGACTACAAGTATGCATAAAACATGTCTGCACCCAGAGGAAACTTAAACCACAATATGCAAAAATAGAAATCATCATCATGGCCAGGCTCACGCCTGTAATCCCCACACTTTGGGAGGCTGAGGTGGGCAGATCACTTGAGGTCAGGAATTTGAGACCAGCTGGCCAACATGGTGAAACCCCGACTCTACTAAAAATACAAAAATTGGCTGGGCATGGTGGTGGGTGCCTGTAATCCTAGCTAATCGGGAAGCTGAGATACAAGAATCATTTGAACCCGGGAGGCGGAGGTTGCAGTTAGCCAAGATCATGCCACTGCACTCCAGCCTGGGCAACAAAGTGAGATTCTACCTCAAAAAAAAAAAAAATCTGTCATCATGAGAAGCTAGTAGGTTTAAGGTAATATTTTCTGAACAGTTTGTGCTGTTGTTATGTCTTCTTCTAACCAAAATAATAAAAATAACCAATATTTTCTTTACTCCACGCTGGCACTATGTATGTCTTAACTCAATACTCTCTACAGCCAACTCCACGCAGTAAAGGCTGTACTGTTCCCTATTCTATAGAAGAAGGAACTCAGGCACAGAGAGTTGGAGAATCTTGCCCAAGGTCACTCGGCTGGTAGGCAGCAAAGCCAGGAGTCAAATTCACACACACAATCTGAAAATAAGGTCAGTCGTGAGTGGCGGAATTTAAAATTTCTCAATCCTTGGAAACTCACAGACGTAAATAAATATAATAGTAACAAATGTCTTTTGCTTAGGGGGTATCAAGGCCAAATGTTGTTTAGAAAAAAAGAAGAAGAAAAAAAGGCTGGACACAGTGGCTCATGCCTGTAGTCCCAGCACTTTGGGAGGCCAAGGTGGGAGGACTGCTTGAGCCCAGGAGTTTGAGACCAGCCTGTGCGACATAGGGAGACCTTCTCTCTACTAAAAAATGAAAAATAAAGAAAAAATTAGCCTACCCTGGTGGCACGCACCTGTGGTTCCAGCTATTCGGGGGCCAAGGTGGGAAGATCTCTTGAGCCCAGGAGTTTGAGGCTGCAGTGAACCACGATCATGCCACTGCACTCTAGCCTGGGCAATAGAGCAAGACTTGATCTCAAAAAAAGGAAAAACTTTGCGAGCTATTGGCAATATTACTTTTGAGTCGATGATGGTGTCTGAACAGGCCCTAAGCACCTGGCTTCCCCAGATGCTCCTGGCTGGGAAGCCTCTGCCCTCTTCCCCACCCCCATTTCCACTCGGGACCTATAGGGTAGCAGCCGGGGGATGGCAAGATGGGGGTGCCCACCTTTGATGTTAAACTCCTTGAGGACCCAAGCCCTGGGGAACAGCCTGCCCTGGTCCCAGTTGTCTGTAGTCCCATTGAACCAGAGCTCCTCCTCTTCATCATCGTCCTCCTTTTTGTCTTCTTGGTCCAGATCCTTGATTTCCTCTACAGAATAATCCTTGTCTTCCTCCTTTTCCTCCCGCTTCTCCTCTTGTTCCCCTGGGGCTCTGTCCTTGAGATGAGTACCCCCTTCCTCTTCTCCCAGAGAAGCTCTCTTGCACAATATGGATGGAAAATAAGTAAAATAAAATCATTTATGTGAAACAGAACTTTGGAAACATTATTTTTGGCTATTCAGGAAAGTAACATGAGGCTCACTGAACAAAATTTGAAAAAAACCAGCAAACTATGAAGAAGAAAATGAAAATCGCCTATATTCCGGCCAGGCTTGGTGGCTCAGCCTGTAATCCCAGCACTTCGGGAGGTTGAAGTGGGTGGATCACAAGGTTAGGAGTTCAAGACCAGCCTGGCCAACATGGTGAAACCCTGTCTTTACTAAAAATACAAAAATTAGCCGGATATGGTGGCGCACCTAGCTGCTGGGGAAGCTGAGACAGGATAATCGCTTGAACCTGGGAAGCAGAGGTTGCGATGAGCAGAGACCATGCCATTGCACTCCAGCCTGTGCAACAGAGCGAGACTCCATCTCAAAAAAAAAAAAAAAAGAAGAAAAGAAAAATCACCTATACTCTTATCACTGACAGAAAAAAAACCTTCCATTTTTTTGTGTGTGTAGCTAGATAGAGAAAAGAAGAAAGACACTTGAAATAATTTTAGGATTGTGTTTTATACTTTTGTGGTCTTTTTTCCCCTTCTGGCGAAAGTGTTTTGTAAACTGTAGCTGCTACACAAACATGCAGAATTACTATCATGAGAGACTCATCCCAGGCAGTGGTGCTTCTAACTAGAATTCTGCCAGCCACTCTCATTTCCTCTCCTATAAAGCCTTTCAGGTGGCTGTCCCCCATGCCACCAGCCCACCCCATTCTATACTGAACCCCTTCTTTAGGGGCTGCAGGTAAGGTGTGGGGTCTGGGTGGGGATTAGACCCACGGGTCTTTTCCGGGAAGCCTCCCCAGATTCCTGGGATCCCTTGCAGCCCACAGAGCATTTCCCACTCACTGGTGCTCACACAGCCCTGCTAGGTTGGTGCTGCTTGTCTCTTGCCATGGTCTAAAGAACAGAGGCTCAAAGAGCCAAGAGATTTGCCCAAGGCCCACAGCTAGAAAGTACAGGGGTAGGTACTCTGCCTGCTACACCAGAGAGAGAACATGGAAGCCTGTCCTCTGACCCCACACAGAAGCCCCACCTTCCACAGAGTCCAAGATGAAGGCTATCCTGAGTCCACCCTCTCAATCCCCTTCTCTCTGGGTGTCTGAGGGGCTGCTGGCCCTTCTGAAGCTCTCTCACCTGGATATCAGGGTTTGGGGTACTCAAGGCTGTGTTGACCAATCCCGGCAGCTTCTGCAGCTCCAGCAGCAAGGGAGTAACCTCCGGGGTCCTGGGAGGGGTGGCCTTGCCTGGGGTTGTGGGAGGGGTGGCATGGCCCAGGGTCAGAGCTGCCGGCTCAGTGAGAGTCCAGCGTTCCTGTTGGTGTGGCTCTGCCTGCAGGTGGGTTCGGGGGAGCAGTGGTCCCTCCTCCTCTTCCTTCGGAGACTTAGGATCTGGGGAGGCTGAGGCCTGAGGGAGAGAGAGGGAAGATGAGGTAACGGGTCACGGCTTACCCCAGGGGGACCAGAAAAAGGCTGGCCAGGCGGATCCAGGAGCCCTGGGGTCTGCCCAGGTCATAAACTCACACTGTGACTTAACAACTCTCTGGAGTGTGTATATGTAATATAAAATCTGCATACGGGCCGGGCACGGTGGCTCACGCTTGTAATCCCAGCACTTTGGGAGGCCAAGGCGGGTGGATCACGAGGTCAAGAGATCGAGACTATCCTGGTCAACATGGTGAAACCCCGTCTCTACTAAAATACAAAAATTAGCCGGGCATGGTGACGCACGCCTGTAGTCCCAGCTACTCAGGAAGCTGAGGCAGGAGAATTGTTTGAACCCGGGAGCCAGAAGTTGCAGTGAGCAGCGATTGCACCATTGCATGCCTGCCTGGGTAACAAGAGGGAAACTCTGTCTCAAAAAAAAAAAAAAAAAAAAAAATCTGCATACGACCTCCTGCTTTCAGGCCCTCAGTGTGTAAGTGAGGGTGTAGCTGATCAAACAGTGAATTATGTCCACAAAGTGCTTTCACAGCGGACGTCAGCATGCGGCATGAAAAGGAGGGTCATTTCCCAGATGAAGAAGGAGGCCCAAGAAGGGGAGACAGCCGTTTCAGAGAGTGGAGCCCTTTGCAGACAATGTGCCTCCAAACCCCCGGGGCCCTCAATGCCAGAGCAGGAAGCCCCCAGGGATGCGCCTGGTCCTATTGGGGAGTGGGTGGCAGGCCTGGGCCTTTCCCCTCGGCCTGATCCTGTCCACTCCGCCCTGCCCAGGCCAACAATGGGAGGGCTGTGTTCCTTGGCGCCTCTGAACACAGTTACCTTCCTCTGCCTGCCTGCCTGGGGCCTGGGGCCTGGTTCTTTTTCTGTTTTTTTTTTGTTTTTTTTTTTGTTTTTTTTTTTTTTAGATGGAGTCTTACTCTGTTGCCCAGGCTGGAGTGCAGTGGCTCGATCCTGGCTCATTGCAACCTCTGCCTCCCAGGTTCAAGCAATTCTTCTGCCTCAGCCTCCGAGTAGCTGGGATTACAGGCACCCACCACCACGCTTGGCTAATTTTTGTATTTTTAGTAGACATGGGATGTCATCATGTTGGTCAGGCTGGCCTCAAACTCCTGACCTTGTGATCCATCCACCTCAGCATCCCAAAGTGCTGGGATTGCAGGCATGAGCCACCATGCCTGGCTTTTTTTTTTTTTTTTTTTTTTTTTTGAGACAGAGTTTCGTTTTTGTTGCCCGGTCTAGAGTACAATGGCGCAATCTCGGCTCACTGCAACCTCCACCTCCCAGATTCAATCAATTCTCCTGCCTCAGCCTCCTAAGTAGCTGGGACTACAGGCATGTGCCACCACGCCTGGCTAATTTTGATATTTAGTAGAGAAAGGGTTTCTCCAAGTTGGTCAGGCTGGTCTTGAACTCCCGACCTCAGGTGATCCGCCCGCCTTGGCCTCCCAAAGAGCAGAGATTATAGGCGAGAGCCACCGCGCCCAGCCATCTCCTTTTTCTACTCCAGGCTGCTGGTATGGCTGACTCAGCCAGTTCATCCCTTCCAACAGCCACTCACCACGTTGTCCTCACCGGGACAGTCCCCTTCAAAAACCAGGGGCTGGGCCAGACGTCTGTAATCCCAGCACTTTGGGAGGCTGAGGTGGGCAGATCATGAGATCAGGAGTTTGAGACCAGCCTGACCAACATGCTGAAACCCTCGTCTCTACTAAAACTCCAAAAATTAGCCAGGCATGATGGTGCGCACCTGTAGTCCCAGTTACTCAGGAGGTTGAGGCGGGAGAATTGCTTGAACCTAGGAGGCAGAGGTTGCAGTGAGCCACTGCACTCCAGCCTGTGCTGCAGTGAGACCCTATCTTTATTTTAAAAAAAAAAAAAAGGATAGGAGAATTGAGAGAGGACAGACAGCTCTTCCAGTCTTCTGCAAGGACTGTCCCACGTTGGGTGGAATGGGAGAGGTTCGTGCTGCTGCAGCAGGAGCATGAAAGACGCATGGAGCATGAAAGGTGATCTGCCTGCCTCAGGCTCCCAAAGTGCTAGGATTATAGGCATGAGCCGATGCTGCACTCGGCCTTTTTTTTTTTTAAACAGAGACAGGTTCTCACTCTGCCCGGCTGGAGTGCACTGGTGCGATCATAGCTCAGAGCAGCCGTGAACTTCTGGCCTCAAGTAATCGTCCCGCCTAGGCCTTCCGAAGTGGTATGATTACAGGCGTGAGCCACCGTGCCCAGCCTCTCTTGCCTAAGTCTAGCCCCCTCAACCCCGTGTGGCACCAAGTCCCCAGTTCTTCTTTCTCCCATGTAAAGGTCTTCCCTTGCCTGCCAAGGAGGTGGTGGGTGCCAGGGTTAGATGCCCTGGAGTTCTGGAATTAAGCAAAACTGAGTGGGGATCCTGGCTCACCACATACTAACCCTGGGTTAGTTATTGGACCTGCTGTCAGTTTCCTCATCCCTAAAATAATAACAAGACAAGGAACACACATGGAGGCTGTTTGAGTTGTTCTGATCCTAACCAGAACAGAAGATACCCAAGGCAGAGCTGGGTCACTCTTTGCCTGCTTTCAGCACCCAACAAACTGACCTCAGCCTCTTTTTTTTTTTTTTAAAGACAGGGCTTGGCCTGGCATGGTGGCTCCCACCTGTAATCCCAGCACATTAGGAGGCTGAGGAGGGTAGATCACCTGAGGTCGGGAATTTGAGACCAGCCTGGCCAATAAGGGACAACCCGTCACTACTAAAAATGCAAAAACATAACTCGATCAAGACAGTTGCAGGTGGGCAGGAAAAGAAAATGCAAAAACATTAGCCAGACATGGTGGCACACACCTGTAATCCCAGGTACTTGGGAGGCTGAGGCTGGAGAATCTGTTGAACCTGAGAGGTGGAAGTTGCAGTGAGCCAAGAATGCGCCATTGCATTCCAGCCTGGACAGCTGACTGAGACTCTATCTCAAAAAAAAAAAAAAAAAAAAAAAAAAAAAGACAGGGTCTTGCTCTATCACCCAGGATGGAGGACAGTGGTGGGTTCATAGCTCAGTGCAGCCTCGAACTCCTGGTGATCCTCCCATTTACCCTCCAAGTACTAGCACTATACTCATGCACCACCTGTGCCGGGCTTGGCCCAGCTTCTTTTATTTATGTAATTAATTAATTAATATGAAGACAGGGTCTCGCTCTGTCACCCAGGCTGGAGTGCAGTGGTACAATCACAGCTCACTGCAGCCTCAACCTCCTGGGCTCAAGTGATTCTCCCACCTTAGCCCTTAATAGCTGGGATTACAGGTGCGTGCCATTGCGCTTGGCTAATTTTTGTATTTTTAGTAGAGACAGGGTTTCTCCATGTTGCCCAGGCTGATCTTGAACTTCTGAGCTCAAGTGATCCATCTGCCTTGGCTTCCCAAAGTGCTGGGATTATAGGCATGAGCCACCATGCCCAGCCCCCAGCCTCTTTTTGTGATGACGTCACCATCCACCTCTCCGGTGCTTTTTCACCCAGCACTGCATCTGACAAAATGAGTTCTTATTTTCCTGTAGGAGTAAATTGAGGCTCAGCAACAGGCCTGTCAAGAGAAGAGTGGGGGCACACTTTGTTTACAAGGCTAATGATTCTTTTCAAGACTTCAGATGAGCAGACTGGAACACGACACGCAAAGATGTACCATCAGAGATCTAATCACAGACCTGGCTCCTGGCTAGACTTAACTTTTCTATGCCTCAATTTTTTCACCTGGAAAATGGAGACAATGCTCATGTCAAGGTGATATGACAAAGAAATGACCTCACGTTAAGTAATTCATTCCGACTCTATAAAGCCCAGAGATTGCTCACTTCCCTTTCAGCAATCTTTACTTTTAGATCCAGGGGTTTTATGTTCTTTCGCTTCTTCATTAAGGTCATTGTGCTGGTCAGTTATCTATTTACTTATTTAATTTTTGAAACAGAGTCTCACTCTGTCTCCCAGGCTGGTGCAGTGGTACAATCTTGGCTCACTGTGACCTCTGCCTTTCGGGTTCAGGCAATTCTCCTGTCTCAGCCTCCTGAGTAGCGGGGACTACAGGCACTCACCACCATGCTTGGCTAATTTTTGTGTTTTTAGTAGAGACGGGGTTTCACCATCTTGGCCAGGCTGGTCTTGAACTCCTGACCTCAAGTGATTCACCCTCCTCAGCTTTCCAAAGTGCTGAGATTACAGGTGTGAGCCACCATGCTCATCCTGGTCAGTTTTCTGTGACATACCACCCAAGTTCTTAGAATAGCAATCTGCATTCTCTCAACATGACTCCTTAAACTAACACCTTTGCTGCATACAGCTTTCACACAAATCATGCAGACTCATGGGATGATGTCAAAGCTGGACAAGACCATGGAGATGACCTAGGCTCTCTTTTTTCATTTTACTTATTTATTTATTTATTTATTTTTGAGACAGGATCTCGCTTTGTCACCCAGGCTGGAATGCAGTGGCGGGATCTCAGCTCATGCAGCCTCTGCCTGACAGGTTCAAGTGATCCTTCCACTTCAGCCTCCTGAGTAGCTGGGATTATAGTTATGCACCATAACACCCAGCTAATTTTTGTATTTTTCAGGGGTAGAGATGGGTTTTTCACCATGTTGCTCAGGCAGGTCTTGAACTCCTGGGCTCAATCAATTCTCCCACCTTGGCCTCCCAAAGTGCTGGGATAACAGGTGTGAGCCACCACACAGGCCCCTCTTTTTCAATGTGAGGAAATCATCTGAGGTGAGTCACACATGCATTAGTGACCCACTGGGACCAGAACCCCAAGCCCTAAACTCCAAGCTCTGCTTTTTCGTTGTGGCACTAATTTGTTTTCACATGTTTTGGATGACTCTGCCAGGCTTTGTACTAGAGCTGAGGATATGATCTTGGCTCTGAAATAATCCATCATTTAGGGTGTTCTTATTGGTGGAAGATTTGGCAAACATGCTAAAAATAATTACAATACAAAGCGATCAGTACTAAAATAGAAACATTTTTGCCAAGCGAGCAGAAACAATGCCAGTTTAATTAATTTGATTATCATTGTCATCTCTATTAGGAGGAGGGACTGGCGAGGGGCCTCTTCTGTCTACCATAGTCATTCTCCACTATGGGCAGTGGGATGGGGTGTCCCACAGGAAACCTGTGGCAGTTCTGGTCCTGGTGACGAGTGCTACAGGCACCTGGGGTTGGAGGCCAGGAATGCTGCTAACCATTCTATAATGCGTGAGATAGCAGCCCTTACCACAAAGAATTATATGGCCCAAAATGATAAGGGTGCTGAGGCTGAAAAGAATCAGTCTAAAGGATGCATTCTTTTTTGTTTGTTTGTTTGTTTGTTTTTTTGAGACGGAGTTTCCCTCTAGTTACCCAGGCTGGAGTGCAATGGCGCGATCTCGGCTCACCACAACCTCCGCCTCCTGGGTTCAGGCAATTCTCCTGCCTCAGCCTCCTGAGTAGCTGGGATTACAGGCACGTGCCACCATGCCCAGCTAATTTTTTTTTGTAATTTTAGTAGAGACAGGGTTTCACCAAGTTGACCAGAATGGTCTCGATCTCTTGACCTCGTGATCCACCCGCTTCAGCCTCCCAAAGTGCTGGGATTACAGGCTTGAGCCACCGCGCCCAGCCAGGATGCATTCTTTTTTTTTTTTTTTTTTTTTTTTAATGTTTAGTTTTTTTGTTTTTTTTTTTTGTTGTTTTTTTTTTTTGAAACGGAGTTTCGCTCTTGTTACCCAGGCTGGAGTGCAATGGCGCAATCTCGGCTCACCGCAACCTCCTCTTCCTGGGCTCAGGCAATTCTCCTGCCTCAGCTTCCTGAGTAGCTGGGATTACAGGCACGTGCCACCATACCCAGCTAATTTTTTGCACTTTTAGTAGAGACGGGGTTTCACCATGTTGACCAGGATGGTCTCGATCTCTCAACCTCGTGATCCACCTGCCTCGGCCTCCCAAAGTGCTGGGATTACAGGCTTGAGCCACCGCGCCCGGCCAGGGTGCATTCTTAATAGGGGCAATAACTAGATCTTGTGAGAGATAAAAAAGTCTTATGATATTACAATGGTTCGTGAGATTCCAAAGGGCCATAATACATAAACAGACAGTATGTCTGTGGTATTAAAATTTCATGGCGAGGTTGGGTGCAGTGGCTCACGCCTGTAATCCCAGTGCTTTGGGAGGTCAAGGCCGATGGATCACTTGAGGTCAGGAGTTCTAGACTACCCTGGTCAACATGGTAAAAACCCATCTTTCCTTAAAAAATACAAAAATTATCTGGAGGCCGGGCGCAGTGGCTCAAGCCTGTAATCCCAGCACTTTGGGAGGCTGAGGCGGGTGGATCACAAGGTCAAGAGATCGAGACCAACCTGGTCAACATGGTGAAACCCCGTCTCTACTAAAAATACAAAAAATTAGCTGGGTATGGTGGCGCATGCCTACCATTGCACTCCAGCCTGGGTAACGAGCGAAACTCCGTCTCAAAAAAAAAAAAAAAATTATCTGGGCGTGTTGACAGGCATCTGTAATCCCAGCTACTTGGGGGGCTGAGGCAGAAGACTCCCTCGAACTTGCGGGTAGAGGTTGAGCCGAGATTGAGCAAGACTCCATGTCAAAAAAAAAAAAAAATTTGGCTAGGCGTGGTGGCTCACACCTGTAATCCTAGCACTTTGGGAGGCTGAGGCAGGCAGATCACCTGAGGTCGAGAGTTTGAGACCAATCTAACCAAAATGGAGAAACCCCGTCTCTACTAAAAATACAAAAATTGGCCAGGCATGGTGGCGCATGCCTGTAATCCCAGCTACTCGGGAGGCTGCGGCAGGAGAAATGCTTGAACCTGGGAGGTGGAGGTTGTGGTGAGCTGAGATCACGTCACTGCACTCCAGCCTGGGCAACAAGAGCATCATAAATAAATAAACAAACAAATAAATAAATAAATTCATGGGGACTGGGGACAGGAAAAAAATCTAAAAGATTCCTTGGCCAGGCATAGTAGCTCAGGACTGTAATCCAAGCACTTTGGAGGCCTAGGCGGGTGGATCACCTGATGTTGGGAGTTCAAGACCAGCCTGACCAACATGGTGAAACCTCGTCTTAAAAAAGAAAAAAAAATTAAAAAAAAAAAAAAAAAGAGCCGGGCGTGGTGGCTCAAGCCTGTAATCCCAGCACTTTGGGAGGCCGAGGCGGGTGGATCACGAGGTCGAGAGATCGAGACCATCCTGGTCAACATGGTGAAACCCCGTCTCTACTAAAAATCTAAAAAATTAGCTGGGCATGGTGGCGCGTGCCTGTAATCCCAGCTACTCAGGAGGCTGAGGCAGGAGAATTGCCTGAACCCAGGAGGCGGAGGTTGCGGTGAGCCGAGATCGCGCCATTGCACTCCAGCCTGTGTAACAAGAGCGAAACTCTGTCTCAAAAAAAAAAAAAAAAAAAAAAAAAAAAAAAAAAAAAAAAAAGATTCCTTAAGGGGGCAGAAAAAAAAAGTAGCAAAACAGGTCTACAGACACATCCTCAAGTGCAGCCAGGCTCCTGCTTCCTTCCCACAGCCTCTGGAGGGCTTCAGCAGCCTGGGCACTAGTAGCATAGCCCAAATTCTAGCTCTCACTCACTCATTCACTCAGTCTCCCACACCCTGCACGCCCATATAGATCCTCAGTGTCGTCATCTCAAAAACAGGGAAGAAGGCTGGGCGCGGTGGCTCAAGCCTGTAATCCCAGCACTTTGGGAGGCCAAGGCGGGTGAATCACGAGGTCGAGAGATCGAGACCATCCTGGTCAACATGGTGAAACCCCGTCTCTACTAAAAGTACAAAAAAATTAGCTGGGCATGGTGGCACGTGCCTGTAATCTCAGCTACTCAGGAGGCTGAGGCAGGAGAATTGCCTGAACCCGGGAGGCGGAGGTTGCGGTGAGCCGAGATCGCGCCATTGCACTCCAGCCTGGGTAACAAGAGCGAAACTCCGTCTCAAAAAAAAAAAAAAAAAAAAAAAAAAAAAAAAACAGGGAAGAATGGCCGGGCACCATGGTTCAAGCCCGTAATACCAGCATTTTGGGAGGCTGAGGTGGGAGGATTGCTTGAGGCCAGGAGTTCAAGACCAGCCTAGGAGACATAGTGAGACTCCATTTCTACGAAATAAAAGATAAAAATAAAAATAGCCAGGTGTGGCTGTACATGCTTGTGGTCCCAGGTATCAAGGAGGCTGAGGCCAGAGGATGGATTGAGTCCAGTAGGTTGAGGCTACTCCAGCCTGAGTGACAGAGACCCTGTCTCAAAAAAAAAAAAAAAACAAAAAACAAAAAACAAAAAAAACAGAAAGAAAAAGAGAGAGAAAGAAAAGGAAGGAAGGAAGGGATGGAGGGAGGGAAAATGGGAAGAATTAAAGAATTATTCTGGCCTCCTACAACTCAGTACATAGAATTCAGGACCCAAGACCTAAGATCACCTGCCACACAGGCCTGCTCCTGCAACCCTAATACAAATCTGGCTGTCTTTGTTCCCATGGGAATGAATGTCCGCTGCATTTCAAGGGGCAACAAGCTGGACTGTAGACCCCTCAGTGACTGGAAGACACAGGGCTTGACAGACCATGGCTTCCCTCCACGTGGCCAACACCACTCTTCCATCTCATTTCTGTTTTATACCCCAATGCCCACCCACAGGCCTCCAGGACAGCGTCAGTCTGGGGCTGGACACCCCGGCCAGCAGTTGGAGAGCCCCACCGTGCCTCCGCTTGTCTCATGGAAGGGGCTCACCTGACCGTTTGAACCTCAGCGGCCCTGGCCCGCCTCTCCGCAAAGGGCCAGCTTCCTCGCACCGTTGGGACTCCTCTCCCAGCCAGCGCGCACCTGAACAGGGGGCTGGCTGCAGGCGAGGTTTGCTGGGGGCGAGGAAACTCAGCCATCGCTGACTGTCGGCCACCTCACTCGGCACAGAAGTTAAACTTGTCCCCAGGCGGGTCTGCAGCGGCTCCTCCAGAGCTCGCGGCCACGCGCGGGGAGTGGGAGCCTCGAGGTCCGGCGCACCTGGCCAGCGCCCGGTATCGGGGGCGGTCCAGCCCGCCCTGGACCCTCTCCCTCGGGGGGTCGCCCTCCGGCGTGTGTCCCGGTCCCGCTCCATGCACGGCTAGAGCCGGCGGACCGGGGAGGAGAGACCGCGCGCGCTGCAGCCCCGTGCCGCCGCCACTCACCTCTGCCAGCCTCCCGCGGCTGCGGGGCTGAACTTCGCCGCCCCGCGGCTCCCTCATGGGGAGCCCTAGCGCCGCGGTCAGCAGCGCCGCCAGCAGCAGCACGCAGAGGAGCAGCCCGGCTCGGCCGCGGAGCGCACGCATCGTGTCGGTCCCGAGGCAGCTCTGCCGGAGCTTCCGCCCGCGGCCGCTAACCCAGTCGCGCCCCGCCTCGCCTCCTCCGTGGGCGGGACCGCGGGGGCTGCGGCTCAGGCCAGGCACCCCCTGCCCCCGAGCGCCTGGGGACCCTGAGGGACGCGCGGGGCACAGGGGCGCGCGGGGCAGGGGTCGCAGCTCGCACGGCCTCTCTGACCCCGGCCCCCGCGTGGGCGCCGGCGCAGCTCTGGGGTCCGCGCACCGGGACGCCCCCCGCCCTCCCGGGAGAAGCCCCTCGACGCTCCCCCCTCCAGTCTCGGCCCCGCAGACGGCTCTCTTTGATCTGGCCGCCTCCTCGCCTTCAGTCCCCGCCGCTGTCCCCGTCGCAGCCTCCAGCGAATTCCTGCTCCCGGCGCGCTCCAGCCCCGCGCTGCGACTCCTGCGGGGTCCTGAGGGTCCGACGCCACCTCCGCCCTCCCCGACCGTGCTCCGACTGCGACCCGGACCTGCGGTGCAGCGCGGGCGAGGGAGGGAAGCGCAGCTGGATGGGAGAGAGGCGCGAGCACCTGGGATGCAGGGCAGGTGCGCGGTGATGCCTCGGGGAAGGTTTGCTGTGGGGGAGGCCTGGTAGTAACTCCCCAGGGTCCTTCCCACTCTACTGCCCCAGGTGGAGATCAGAGGAGAGGCGCGAGTCAACACCTGCCGCTCTGCGCCCAGGGTCCTCGGAATGTCCTCTGAGCACTTAAAAACCCCCGGAAAGCCGGTCGGCGGCTCTAATCCCAGTACTTTGAGAGGCCGAGGCGGGAGGATCACTTGAAGTCAGGAGTTGAGACCAGCCTGGCCAACATGGTGAAACCACATTTCTACTAAAAATACAAAATAAGCCAGGCATTGTGGCGGGCGCTTGTAGTCCCAGCTACGCGGGTGGCTGAGGTGGGAGAATCGCTTGAAACTGGAAGGCGGAGGCTGCAGTGAGCCGAGTTTGCACCACTGCACTCCAACCTGGGCGACAGAGTGAGACCCTGTCTTAGAAAACAAAACGAAGTCAGGGCGCGGTGGCTAACCGCCTGTAATCCAAGCACTTTGGAAGCCAAGGCGGGCGGATCACCTGAGGTCGGGAGTTCAAGAGTAGCCTGACCAACGTGATGAACCCCGTCTTCTTTTTTTTTTTTTTTTTTTTTTTGAGACGGAGTTTCGCTCTTGTTACCCAGGATGGAGTGCAATGGCGCGATCTCGGCTCACCGCAACCTCCGCCTCCTGGGTTCAGACAATTCTCCTGCCTCAGCCTCCCAAGTAGCTGGGATTACAGGCACGCGCCACCACGCCCAGCTAGTTTTTTGTATTTTTAGTAGAGACGGGGTTTCACCATGTTGACCAGGATGGTCTCGATCTCTCGACCTCGTGATCCACCCGCCCCGGCCTCCCAAAGTGCTGGGATTACAGGCTTGAGCCACCGCGCCCGGCGAACCCCGTCTTAAAAAAAAAAAAAAAAAAAAAAAAAAAAAAAAAAAAAAAAGAAAGAAGAAAACAAAACGAAACAAAACAGGAGAATGTTGAGGATGAGATGTGAGGATAAAGTCCCAGGACAGCCGGAGTCGGGGTCGCCTAGTTGTATCCTGGGTGAAACAGTGGAACTGCCCACTTCCTCCGGTGGGACCCTTGGTGCAGGGATCCTCACGTAGGCCACGAGGGTCAGTAAGATGGCCTGCCTCTGAGCAACCGACACAAAACCTTAGCTTGTGGCAAAGATCAGGAACTCTGAAAGGCAGTGCCAATCTTAGAGCCTGGATGGGCATCTAGGAAAGGTGGACACCGAGACACGGGGTAGAGGGAGGGGCTGGGACAAGATCAGTCACAAGGCATGAGGAACATGCCCACCCAGGGGCCATAGCAGGGCACACAAGGATGACTCAAGTTTGCGGGCAGGGTTGCTGGATCCCCAGAGGTGCTGGAGAGGATGGACAGCAAGCCCAGCTACTGGCGTCAACTGCTGGTCTGGGTGAAGTTAAAGTAAGACTGTGGGGGTACTGTGCGCTTTTCTGGAACTACTCTTCCTAAGCGCACAACTGCAGGGTTCTGAATGCTCTGTCACAGGGATGACAACCTAGGTCTGGATTCGACCATGGGGATTGGAATCTTTTTTTTTTTTTTTTTGAGACGGAGTCTTGCTCTGTCGCCAGGCTGGAGTGCAATGATGGGGCAGTCTCCACTCACTGCAACCTCCCTCTCCCTGGTTCAAGCGATTCTCTTGCCTCAGCTTCCCAAGCAGCTGGGACTACAGGCGTGTGCCATCATGCCCGGCTAATTTTTGTATTTTTGATGAAGATGGGGTTTCACCATGCTGGCCAGAATGATCTCGAACTCCTGACCTCATGATCTGCTCACCTGGGCCTCCCAAAATGCTGGGAATTACAGGACACCGCGCCCGGCCTGGGATTGGAATCTTTCACCATTTACCAAGTAGGTGATATTATTGGACAAGTTATTTGTCGTCTTCATGCTTTTTTCGTCTGTAAAGTTTCGGCGGCACAGGAGCAGGAGGTGTTACCCATCTCACCTGGGCACCAAGTGTGAGAAGTAAGCGCCAGTAAATGAGAAGTGTGAGTAAAAGAGAAGCCATATTTCCATGTTGAGAATTTGTATTAGAATGAACTATATGAAGTTGCCCTGTTTTGTTCAAAAGGTCGAATATTGGCAATTTCATATGGTGCAACCTAATAGGATGCCTGGTACATGGTAAACACTCAAATGTTAGCCAGAAGAAACCTCGCCTGTGAGTACCTGCTAGACCATATTGCATTTACGAGACGAAATGCAAGGCCACCTTGTTCTTTTTCAGGTTTTTTGTTTTTTTGGTATAAATATTTTCACACCCTGCCTAATATTTTGTCTGTTTCCACATTCCTGCACCTTCCACCCGATTAAAGGAGACTTGGAAGACAGAGTTCATTCATTCATGAGCAACTGTCTCCATGACAAGCATCACACTGGACTCCAAGCTCCGCCCCCAACTATAGATAGCCTCCTTGGTCCTGCTGCACCCCCTCGTTTTTTACCGTCCCCCACTCCCCACGAAGCTGGTTATTTTTCCTTTTTTTTTGAGATGGAGTCTCACTCTGTCGCTCTCACCAGGCTGGAGGACAGCGGTATGATCTCTGCTCACTGCAATCTCTGCCTCAAAAAAAAAAAGAAAAAGAAAAAGAAAAAAAAAGACAGTAAGCAATATCTGGTTTAGACGGTGAGAGAGAAAACCGAGGAAGTGTAGGGTCTGAAATAAAGTACAGTCGGAGCTCACTAAACAGAATGGTGAGGTAAGGCAGCGGGATGGTGGCAGAGGCAGACTCACTGGGCTTTGTAGGACTTGGTGAGGTCTTTCTCTTATGCAGGGGGTGGGAGTCAGACCAGTGAAAGATTTAAAAAAAAAATTTTTTTTGAGATGGAATCTTGCTCTTGTCACCCAAGCTAGAGTGCAATGACATGATCTCAGCTCACTGCAGCCTCCACCTTCTGGGTTCAAGTGATTCTCCTGCCTCAGCCTCCTGATTCGCTGGGATTACCTGCCACCACGGCCAGCTAGCTTTTTTGTATTTTTAGTTTATTATTTATTTATTTTTGAGATGGAGTTCTGCTCTTGTTGTCCAGGCTGGAGTTGCAATGGTGCAATCTTGGCTCACTGCAACCTCTGCCTCCCGGGTTCAAGCAATTCTCCTGCCTCAGCATCCCGAGTAGTTGGGATTACTGGCATGCACCACCACCCCTGGCTAATTTTGTATTTTTAGTAGAGACAGGTTTTCACCATTTGGCCAAGCTGGTCTTGAACTCCTGACCTCAGGTGATCTGCCCATCTCAGCCTCCCAAAGTGCTGGGATTACAGGCGTAGGCCATCGAGACTGGCCTGGTTTTTGTTGTTGTTGTTGTTTGTTTTAGTAGAGACGGAGCTTCAGCATGTTGTCCAGGCTGGTCTCCAACTTCTGAGACCTCAGGTGACCCCCCCCCAAATCTCACCCTCCCAAAGCACTGGGATTACAGGTGTGAGCCACTGCACGTGGCCTATCTTCCTATCTTATTATTATTATTTTTTGAAATGGAGTGTTTTGTTCTTGTCACCCAAGCTGGAGTGCAATGGCATAATCTTGGCTCACTGCAACCTCTGCCTCCCAGGTTCAGGTGATTCTCCTGCCTCAGCCTCTCGAGTAGCTGAGATTACAGATGCCCACCACCACACCTGGCTAATTTTTGTATTTTTAGTAGAGACGGGGTTTCACCATGTTGGCCAGGCTGGTCTTGAACTCTGGACTTCAGGTCATGCCTCCCGCCTTGTCCCCCCGACGTGTTGGGATTACAGGCGTGAGCCACCGCCGGCCGGCCTTTCCTTTTTAAAATAACCTTCACTGAGGCATAATTTACATATAATAAAACACACCTATTTTAATTGTACGATTCCGTTTTCATGAATGTGTGCATCTGTGTAACCACCACCGCCATATGATGTAGAACCTTCCATCTTCCAATTTCCTTCTGTGTGCTGTCGAAAAGCTTGTGCTTCGGTGGAAAACTGCATTGTGCACGTAGCGTGCTTCCTTCCAGCGTATTTAATTCTAGTCTTTCATTGCCTTTGAGCTACTGCTCTGTAGGTTGTAGGTAACTGGTAGCAAAACAAAATTCTTGTCCAAAGAAATGTATATTCTGTCCTGCCCTGTACAAGTTCAATTGAGTTTCTTCTCCCAGTGTGGAAGAAACGAGTTTGCCTTAGTTTGAACATTCGTTTCAATATCCCTGATTTACAAATGTTGGTTTTTCAATATCTCCTTTGAACTGGTTTTAACGCCCTTACCAGTTTCCTCATTAATAAGTAAAATCTTTAACACGTGTTCATTTTATATCCATGAGAGACATGACTGCATGCTTTTATTTTATTTTTTTGAGACAGGCTTTCACTCTGTTACCCACGCTGGAGTGCAGTGGTGCAGTCTCAGCTCACTACAACCTCTAACTCCAGGATTCAAGCA